TTTAGGTCTTTACACCATTAAGAACTGACTTTTGTTTACAGCATAGGGTAGGGGGGAATCCCATGTTTTGTTTTGTTTTTAAATATACAGTATATATATAGAGAGTGCTAGTTATTTCAGCTTAATTTACTAAAGACAACACCTTTGAGGCACTAATTTACATTGACTCATCTGTCATTTATATGTAGTTCTATTTCTGAACCTGCTATTCTCTTTCATTAGATTAATTACCCATCACTGCATCAAGACCACATTATTTCAATTGGTGAAGCTTTAGGATATTTTGATATCTGGAGGGGAATTTTTTTCCCTCCTTATGATTCAACAGAATTATCTTGGTTATTCTTGGCCCCTTCTGTTTCCATGTGAATTTTAGAATCACTTTGTCAAGGTTTGTGAAAACCCCTAATACAATTTGGAGTAGATTGCATTGTGTTGATGGAGTCGTCTCATCCACGAACATGATATATCTATTCATTTATTTAGGCCTTTTTATGTATTTCAATAAAATTTTATAGTTTTTTTATACAGATACTATACCTTTCTATTAATTTTTATCCAAGTTATGATAAAGATTTGTTGCTATTATGAGTGAGACCTTTAACAATGTATTATCTCTAATGGGCTGTGGCTTCTTTGCATATTGATCTTTTATTCAACAATGTTGCTAAACTCTCTGATTTGCTCTAATACTTTAATAGATTTGCTTGGATTTTTTAGTAGACAACTGTATCATCTAAAAGTCATATTTTTCTTTTTTTCTAAACCTTATGTCTTCTAATTTCTTTGTGCGTGTGTGTACGTGATCTTGGCAAGGGGCTTCAGGACAGTGCCAAGTAGAAATGAAAAAGCTATCTTTGTTTTGTTCCTAGCTTTTAAAGGAAAATGTATAATGAATTAACATTAAGGATAGATAATGCTTGTAGAATTAGGTTGTTCAGGAAATCCCTCCCTTTCCTAGCTTGCTATGATTAAAAAAATATATAAATGAATGGCAAATTACTTTATATTTTTTAATATTAAACCATTCTTACATTATGGTACCAGCCCAATGTGCTTATGATGTTGTTTTTTTTTTTTAAGATTTTTATTGGGGAATTGGGGGGATGGGAACAGTGCTGGGGAATTGGGGGAAGGGGAACAGACAAGTTGCTATCGTTTTTGTTCTTCAGTCTAGTTGTGGAGGACGTTGCTTCACTGGCCCAAGTTGGCACCATCATTGCGCTCTTCCCGGGCGAGGCAGATCAGTTGCCAGCTTCTGGATGGCTGCTCACTGCGGATGCTGGCTGCTCACGCTGGCTGCTGGCTACACACGGTAGCCCATGGCAATCCACTGCAGCAGGGGCTGCAGCATACGCTGTCTCTGGCGACTCACGGCAGCCCAGCTCCAGGTTGAGCTGTTGTTCAGCATCTTAGCTGTGGAGGGCAGTGTCACTGGCCCTCATATGTGGGATCCGCACCGGGGCCCTCTGGCGTCCCAAGCCAGTTCTTAACCATCATGCCACTCGGCCGGCCCTATGATGTATTTTTTGAAAATACATTGCTGAACTTGGTTTGATAATATTTAATGTATAAAATGTTTAGTTTTTTTGAAATTGGCCTATATGTTTTTGTCTGAGTTTGGTATCAAGATTTTATTAGCTCATAAAATAGGGTGCTTTCTTTCTTTTCCTGTTCTTTGAAACTATGTGAATAGATTTTATCTGTCTATGAAGATTTGGTAAGTCTTTCTGATCAAACCTTTGATTCTTTTTGTAGGTAGATTTAGAAATACGAATTCAGTTTATTTAATGGTTATAGATATACTCATGTTTTAAATTTTTTGAATCTATAATTTCTTAATTTACATCTCACCAAAAGGTATCTATTTTAGCTGTTTTTAATTGTTCACAATATTCTCTTAGTATTAAAAAAAACTCTACTGAAACCACAATGAAAATCTCCTTCATAATCTCTTTTCTTTTCTCTTTTTTTCCACTGTCTTACTAGAAAATTACGTATTTTATTATTGTTTTATAGAATGAATTTTTTGTTTTGTGAGCCTTTCTATGATTTCTTGGTATCTAGCTCTATTTTTAGCTCTAAAATTATACATATGACATACATATTTTTTTTGTTCTTCATTTTCATAATTCTTTTTCGTTTCCTTCAATTCCCCCCTCACCCCACCCTTTGTGTTAGATGGAAGCCTTTTTATTTGGGTGAGGAAAACTACAGAATTTGCTAGTGTTTGATTGACTTCAGACATTACCCAGATTATTCAAGCAGAAACATGCGGTAAGAGAAAAAAGGTGAGCAGAGTCACCCCCTTTCGGCTTTTCATTTGACTGTAGTCTAGTCCTCATACAAGGCTGCTGCACACACAATCCCCACAATCCCCATTCCTGGAGTCTCCTTAGCCACTTCTACCCTGAAGAGTGTTATTATTATTATTATTATTTTTACTAAATTGGGCTGCCTCACCTACCTCTGCCACTGGCCTTTTAAAATAGAAAGGTTTTGTAAGGAGAATGTTTTCTTTCTAGCCAAGAGGAAAAACACTGGGCAGGCACAAATACCCCATTTAAAAAAGGAAGACACCTATACCTGGGGGCATCTGAAAACCTTTCCCATGCAGGCCGAATTCTCTCTGGGTATTGTTTTCCCAGAATATGTTCTTTGAATCAGCCTCTACATAAAGAGACTGGAGGGAAAGTTTCCAGCAGATCCTTTTACTGATAGTTTTGATTACTTTCTAGTAGAAAATTTCAAAGGCTTTTTGCCAGACGGAAGGGAACATGGGGGGGCGCAGTGGGGGGAGAAGGAGAACTGGCATGACCTGTAAACCCTTATGAACAAACAGAGCCCCAAAGCAGTGACAACCAGTTTTTGAATCCTAAGTGCTTCCCAAATTGTAGTCCTTGGACCACTAGAGAAGGTCAATAATCTGACAACATCTACAGTATCCTTAAGATATTAATATAAAGTCTACTTGAAATATCCCTCATTAAATTCTCTTCATTTTGCAGAAGGTATTTTTTCTCACTTTTGATGGCACCAGTTGTCCGAGGATTTGGCTCTGCTGAAGTCATTTGAAGAAACAAATGTAGAGAAACATTGCTTGGCAGAGGATAAGAGAGGAAGGTTAGGACAGAGCATTAGGGCGACTATCCAAGAAAGGGAATAAGTCTGAATGGCAAAAGGGCCGCAGACAGAAAAACACATTAAAGAAAGTATATCAAGGTATCTTCCATCTCTGTTGAAACGACATCACCCACTTCAGTGATTTAAGAAGGCTGTTCAAATATATTATCTTACGTTGATAAAGACAACTTGGAATCCAAGAAAATAGATTTTAGAAGTATTATTATCCCATTTCACAGATGACAAAACTGTCCCATTTTGGAACACAGTACTAGTTTGGATGGATTTATCTCTGTGCTGAACAGGATTTGATTTTAAAGTTATTGACCTAAAGCTGGCTACAGAGCACTTACATTCAAACAGATCCATATTTGTCAGAAAGACAGATCCATATTTGTATTTTGCTCTCCATTTCATTTTAGGCCATGGTAGAACAAATAAAGAGGGAAAAAAATGTTTTACAGCAAGTAACTCAGAACTCTTTACTACACATATCTTGTGTGGACAGAACTCCTGATTTGATGTTAGAAAGAACCACAGAGTAGTTAAGGCAATTAATATATAGTCAAAGCAGAAGCAGCCATATTCCTTAAGACAGTAAGAGATAAAATCAATACATTGGAAAAATATCCAAGCTGAGTGGTAGGCAAGAAACTCATTTTCACTTTACCTTTGATTTATGAGGAAGGACTAAACAGTGAAATAATTACCTATTAAATTAATTGGATAATTATTTAATAATATTATTGTATAATATAACTTAATTACTTAAAATCAAAATTAAAAATTTTTTTCACTAGATGTAGCAGTTTTTGTACTGAGAAACCTAACAGTAAATAAAAAGAGTGTGTAGTAAGAAGGAGACAGGAAAATCAGCTAAGTGATTTTTCTGAGTTCAGTACAGCTATTGTTGAAACGAAAGCCCCTTTCAGTATATTCTTTCCTTACCAATGTATAGTTTTTATTGCACTTAGATTTTATAGCGGACATGTTCCTCTAAGTCCTGATATATAATGTTTTTTAGAGTGTAAGATCGCCTCCTTATTATTTGTGAGATAAGAGTGTTTATATGCATTTCTGCAAGTTGTGTATGAACATATTAGTACTGTGCATATATTAAAATTTCTAATTTTTTTCACATTTTAAGTGGATTATTGTAAAATAGATCATAAGTTGGTAGGAAAGGAGAAAGAGCAGAGTCGTTTAAAGCTGATTTTTTAAAAAAGGGAATTTGGTAGATTGTTTTCAAAAGGAAACAGCTTCTGATAGTAATTGACTAAGCAGCCAGGGTTTAGCCTTGAGCATCCTGAGAAAACCACAAGGCGAACTCAGTCAAGGTTCTCAGTAGTCCCTGGCAGGAGATGGTCACGTTCGCTTTGAAGCACACTCCCCTCCCCGGAAGCCTGAAGTTTCCATCTCCTCCAAGGTTTCCCCTTCTGCCCACTGCAGTTTACAGTGACCTTTCCTTTCTGTGCAGCCCAAGATTACCGAGTGACCACACCAGTGCAGCCCTTCCTCGCTGTTCTGCATTTCTGTCTTAGATGCAATTGTATCAGACCTGCCCGGTCCCTATGTGCCTGTACTGCTGCCGTGGCCTCCTATGTGCCATTTCAGGCGAGAGTTCACTAAGCTTTGTATTCCTAAGCAGCTACTTTTGATATGTGGCGGCTTTAGCAGTGGAGAGACAGGTAGAGAATTTGCCAACACTCCGGAAATCCTGAGAAGCGAAGGGTGGGAGGTGGCGCAGCTGGAGAGCCCCTGATTGACTGGGTGTTGTTATAGGACCTGGGCGAATCTCTGTGGCTGCCACTTTCCTGAGAAATATCCCTTGGCCTGAGTCCCGCGCGGTTCCCGCCCACACCTCCAGGTGTGCATTCCCCGCCCTTAATTACTACTCTAAAATTGATAGTTAGCACTAACAAAGTTTCACTGGGAAAGCGGAAGAGAACATTGTAATCATGGATAGAGAGAACTAAGGGAGCACAGCCCCCCTTGCTTTGGTCTGCAGACCCAGGAGATCGAGAACTCAGAAATGGAAACGTGGGCACCTTTCTAGCAGCGAAGTGACTCTTCCTGTTCTGCCGTCTCCAACTGGGAGAAACTTTGTGCCTTCTGGAAAGTTGAGAAATTGAACTCGAGAGGCCATGCTTCTGGGATTTTGCGGGCCCCGCAATGTTTTCCAGAGCTTTTCAAGGGGGAAGACAAGAGCGACAAAATGAAAATGCCATGTGTGGGGGCGCCCACCCGCGTCCCGCCAGCTGTCCCGCGCGGAGGTGAGCGCTGGAGGGGGTGGGGATGGAGAGGCAGGACTGGCGGCCGCGGGTCTCTCGCCGCGGGTGTGTCTGATCAGCGGCGGGGGCAGGGAGCGTTGGTAAGATAATGAATGAGAGGCTTAGGCAGCCGCGGCGGGAAGTTCGGCAAATGAATGGGGGAGGGGGAGCGCAGACGGCCGGGGCTCTGGGGGTGTCACACCAGGTAAGGGAATGAGGTCGGGGGAGGGAGTCTGGGGGTGCGGGAGCTGCTGACTTGTGCTACTTGGAGTAAGCAGAAAAAGAAAGCAGGCGGAGGAAGGAGAAGGCTGACGTCCGCGCTGCTGCCGTCCTTCCGCAGCCCTTCTCCGGCCGTCCCTGCCGGCCCGCCAAAGCCGGAGCCGTAGGACCCGAGCGGCCGCTGAGGCTCCCAGAGCTGTGACTCCCGTGTCCCCCTGCAGAGCGCTGCCTGTATCTTGGCCGGCCAAGATCGCGGCGGCGGAGCCCTCTCCGGTTTCCTGGCGGGGCGCTCGACCCCAGCGGGGTGGGCGCAGGGGGCGGCCCCGCTCCGGGCCACCGCGTAGAGGCGGGCGTAGCCGGGATCGGCTGGCCGCCGGGCGGGGGCTGCGGGCAGTGACCACGCAGCAGGAGGCCAGCTCCAGGGCGGCGGCGGCGGCGGCAGGCGCAGGTAAAGGGGTGGGCGCGGCGGGGTGCGGAGGAACAGTGCCCCCTGGGCGCGGAGCCTGTGGCCGCCGAGTCGCCTCCGCCGCCAAACGGCGCGTTAGGATCGCACTGTCCGGAGGCAGACGGGCTTTGTGGCTACGTGTGCGTGCAAGTGTGGGTGAGTGGGAGTGTGGGAGTGTGGGTGTGCGCGCGCGCGCTCGCCAGAGTCGGGTGTGGGTGGGTGTGCGTGCCTGCGAGCCGGCCTGCAGGAGGCGAGGCTGTCCCGGCCTCCCTGACCAACCAGTTGCCCGAGCCCCGGGAGGGAAGTCGCCTCTGCCGCCTGGGCCGCTGGCCCTCCTGTCCCGCGGCCAGGTTAGTGCGTTCTGGGGCCCGCCCAAGTGACACGTAGGTGGCCTCGGGTTATCTGGGACCGGGTGGGGGGAAGGGAAGCCTTACCGGGGGCGCTCGAAATGCCTCTAAAGCCGCGTCAGGGTGGACGTGGACCGCCGGGGGTCCCCGCGCCCCGCAGCGCGGAGCTGCCGCATCACTTGCTTCTTACCGACGACTCGGTAGTGTCTCCCGGGCTGAGAGGACTTAAGTTTCTGTCCAGCCGCTTCACAAACACGCTTAGCAAGTAGCTGGAAACTTTAAAGCCAGGGAGAGACCTGGCTTTGACTTGGTGGTTTTGAAATCAACGGGCTCGTTTGGTTTGTGTAGGGCTAGTTTGTGCTGAATGGATTTAAAATTTATTCTTGTTTTTCTTTGCTGCCATTTGGTCTTTGATGTGTAAGAATGACGGCATCCAGAATTTGTCTGGCGCCGGAGAAGATTGCTCTC